GCTTAAAATACAAAGTATATCACCGTCTAGAATAAATCATGTTAATAAGAACTTACCACTAAACAGGAAAATAATTTTTACATATCTAAGCAATTTCATCGTGAAGCCATTTTATCTGAGAAATGTTTCAGAATAAGTACACTTTATACACTATTTCCTGCACTGTTTCATGAATTTCCATATTTACATAAAACATCTCTCAGAAACCTTCAGGTTCACATAGAGGTTTATGTGTCAAAAGGCAAAGACAGGCTTTGTAGTTAAACATCTGACATTAAAAGAATGTTAGGATGGCAGAAAAACACAAGAGAAACCTGCAATCGAAGTAGAGAACAAAATATAGTTTCAGGCAATCTTGGACTTTGACTTGAGGCTCTCATTTTATTACTTTAGGCTTCCCAAGCAGTGTGTACAAAATCCAGCAGATGATCCCACTGATACAGGGAAGTATATATAATAACTTGCATCTTATTTTTATCCAATCTTTAAAAAATGTTTAGGGGGATATATGTACAAAGTGCAGAATAACATGAATATAACTATTACAGGCTGAAACTTACACCCTCACAGTTCATATGTTGAAGCCCTTAACCCCCAGTACCTCAAATGTGACATATTTAGAAATAGGATTTTTATCAGAGGTGATTAAGTTAAAAAGAGGCCTTTAGGGTGGGTCCCAATTCAACCCTACTGGTATCCTTATAAAAAGAGAAAATTTGGACACACTGAGACACTAGGTCAGAGAAAAGGCCATACACAGGGAGGAGGCCATCTGTAAGTTAAGGGAGAGAGATTTCAGAAGAAACCACCCCTACAGCTCCTTGATCTGGAATTCCACACTTCAGAATTACAAGAAAATAAATTTGCTGTTTAAGCCACCCATTCTGTGGTAATTTTTATGGCAGTCCTAATATAGTAACTTAGCATATATGTACACTCAAAATGTTTATTGAAAAGAATGTATTACCATAAAAATTTGATTCATTCCCTAGATTATAAATTGTTTCCTCATCAGCAAACAGAAGGAATTTACAACTCAGGCTCTAAACATGCAAATTATTTTCTTCCTGTTTTTCTTTTAATTATAAGCTGATCCCCTTATTAAAGGACATTCATTAATGATTTCCTTTTTTTCTAAAAACAAAAAAGAGCTGCTTCTGTTTCCACATAGCTAATGGATTATTGCTAATTTTGATAATTTATACCAACTTTAATATATATTTTGAAATACCTGAATTTTTTGTTCTGTGGATCAGCTAGATTGTTTGTTGATAAGTTAGTAATAGCAGAATCTGAGCTGCAACATATACTCCACTTAGAGAAAAACTTAAGTATTAAAGCCAAGGATAATATTTTATAAGTTACAGCTTTATTTTTATAGGCAGCTTCAGAGTTGTTTGTGGGGTATTTTTTTTGCAGTATTTTATTTAGATTTAATCTTTATTTTTTTTCCATTTTCCTTGTGTCCCCTTATATCCTTCCCCTGAGCAATCACCACACTGTTGTCCATGTCTATGAGTCCTTTTTCCTTTTTTGCTCAATCAAGCAGTTTCAATTTTGATAAGCTTTCGCCACCTTGATGCATTGGACTTCTTTAGTGTGGAATGGGAGAAATTGAGTAAGAGAAATAGCATAGCATACAAAACCAAGTAATAAACTAAAATATTGTCATAGTAAAAGAATACTTGTTAAGAGAACAGCTGCAAGAATAGTGGCATATTTAGTAAGTTTTATATATTAAGTCATCCATACGGCACTTAAAAAGAGTATTCAACTCTTTTATTCCTCACCAGAGGATTTTTTTTTATTGATTTCAGAGAGAGGAAGTGGGTGAGGGAAAGAGAGACGAGAAGAGAGAGAAAGGAGGGGAGAGGGACAGAGACCTTCCACACACACCTCGACTGGGGATTGTACCTGAAACCCTTTTGGTGTATGGGACGATGCTCCAACCAACTGAGCAACTGACCAGGGCAAAAAATTATTTAATTTTAAACTTGAAGAACAATGGCACATTTTATAAAATTACAAATCTGCTTCCTTATTATAAAAGCCAAATAACAAAAATTAGTTTAAAAATTCAGGAAAAAACACAACCAGTAACTCTAAAAATCTCAATATTAGCATTTTGCAACACTTCTAATGCTGCTTCCATGCATAGTTTTATACTTGAAATCAATCACATATAATACTGTATATATGTTACATATGCATTTTACACAAAAAGACACACAGAATTAACTTTCAAATAGGTAAAAACACACCTTTTGGTCAGTATCTTTAACTTAACAAAAGACAGACATTGAATCAATGATATTCTAACAGAGAATGAATACGCTATTCTTATATAAAGCTACCCATGTTAATCTTAGTAAATATTAAACCCAGTTTGTTACTGTAACCTGATTTTTATTTCCTCTCAAAGCTAGAGTTTACATGTTCAAAGTTCCTTTTCTAAGTATACTTTACTAGAATCAATAGTTCAATTCCTGTATAAACCTGAGAAACAACCTGACCTTGGAGCCTGCTAAGCTGACAAAGACCACAGGGCTGACTCAAGGTCACTGACCATGAAAATCCGTATCAGGACCAGCAAGGACTGTGCCTACTTGTCCACAACCCCACCCCCTGCTCTCTTTGTTCTGCTTTTCCTCTCCTCCATCCTCATGAAAACCTTGGCCTGCACTAAGTTGGTAAATTGTAACCATGATTTAGTACCTCCCGACTGTAATCAGTTATGTATTCTGTAACAAATCAAAGTATATAATCAATCCTGTGCTTTAGTTCTCATTGCAGTTGCAAATCACAGGTGTCCCCGGAAGGGAGGAATGCCAATGTAAATTGAGAGGTAACACCAGAACGAAAGGAATAACCTGGGCAAAAGCGCACCACTTTCCTTTCAGCCACCTCCCCTGACTCCCCCTTCCCTCTCTCACCAGCACCTGCACATCTGCACTGCTCCTGGGAAGTTCCCCTCGCCCCCACACAATTCCCACCAACTCCCTATAATAATGGCTGGCTTCACTAGAGACATTAAAATGGGGTTTTGAAGACAGGAGTCCACCCATCTTCTTGAGATGCCAGCATTCGAATAAATCACTATCCTTCCTACCAGCACCCATCTCACAAGTTTGGCTTTCGTTGCAATAAGCAGCTGAACCTGGGTTCAGTTTCATTATGATCTAATTTTTAACTGTCTTTGAAATGACATTGCCACATATATAAAACCTGTGCAGAGTAAAATAACAAAAAATGTATTTTAATCTATTGACTTAGAATGTCTTTCAACAATTATATTTTAAAAGCCTTTCCTATTTTTTTATGCCAAAGAAATCATTTAAATTTATCAAATGACAAGAAGAAAGAGAATGCTGATAAAAATTATTTTTATTGTGTGAAAATGTCATAATTTATGATGGTTAAAAATAAAAATGCAGCATATAACAAAATAGGCATTTAACTGTTAAAGCCATCTCGATTTACAAAAGTTCTTTTAAAATATTTTTAATATGCTTTAAGAATACAAATTAATTCTTGAGATACATAAAACATTAATTCCAATCCATTATATATTTAATTTCAAAATCATTTTAATTAAAAGGACTCAGTAAGTATTGTACACTACATAATCACAAATTTAAAAAGTATATTTATTCTCAAACTAGATGAATTTTAAAAAGATGGAAAAAGTATGAGTTTAGTTTTTTAAAACCTGAAGAATTATAAATGTTACAAAAAAATAAAAAAGATGTACAAATGAGTTTTTTTCCTTTAAAATCCAACTCAAAATATATGTCTCCTTGTGTTTATTTTCCTTACATATCAGCCACCTCTGAATTTTAGATTATGAATTTTATATCTGAAGTAGAACGCTGGGTACAAAACTCAAAAAAAAGAAAAAGAAAAAAGGAACTGCATATGATGCTGACTAGAGTTACCTATTAGTAACCTGGTTAATTAAAGTTCAGGGAGTTTAAAATGTAAATAAAATGTTACGCTCTCAAGTAAAACTTTAAATGTAAATAAGCATACTAAACTGCCTTAGACATACTTACCATGTTGTTGTCAGATACCAGTATGTCTGTTGTCAGTACCAGTTACCGAACTATCAATACTGACAAGGTGATACGGGAATCATACCGTTTATAGTATTTTCACTTTGATATAAATATATGCTTTCAATTAAATGCAACATTATGAATTTATTCCTCAAAATATACATCTAAAAGTCTGTCAAAATGCCAGGCAAACAGAGAATCCTGCAGATGCCATTCTTCAGTGTAAGAGAAATGCAATCACTTTAAAATTGAGAAATTATTTTCAAATTATTTCTTTATAAAGATTATTTTGGAATTATTTCTTAACCCTTATTGCTTTAGTACCCCAGCAATTCCCTGTCATAAACACAAGTCTCTGGACCTACAGTAGCTTTTTCAGCCTTTTTGCCTTTAATTTCAAGGCACTAAAGAATTACAATAACCTAAGAGTCACTGCAGCTGCTGATAGAGAAGGGAGTGAGAAGGAGCACCTGGATCTCTCAAAGGGTTTAACCTCTAAAAAAGGGGTTTTACTGGGATTATTAATAGTATCTCATATAACATCTTTATTTTATTTCTCAAGTCTCTTTTATTTATTAGGATAATCATCAAAAAAAGCAACAAAAATATTGACCTCTCTCCTTGGGTAGTGCTTTCAAATAATATAATTTGTTAGAATAAAGAACTAGATTCTATTTTTAAAAAGTATTATTTTAAAATTAGGTCCAATTAGGATGTATACTTCAAAAACAATACTATTATAAAACATTACCTCAAAACATATAAATATATCATTTGTATAGTTAATAACATTCATCCAGTAAATCAACTCTACTTTCCAGACACAATTTAAAACAAAGCATTATAGAAAAGTATAGTCAATATCACAGTAATATTCTTAAACAAAAGTTATAGAAAAATATAAAAAGTTAAAAATTTAGGTTATAAATTCCCAAGAGTTCCCTTTCCATGCACATGTGTCTTACAAAAAAATGTTTAAGGTATAGAAATAAAGACCATTAAATAAATGGTAATGAAAGTATACAAAGTCCATTGGCTCTTTTTCTGAAAGGTTTTACTTCAGAAATATACCCATTAGTGGAGATGTATAAAGCAGAGTCAGTACTAATTCTTACTAACTTTGTCCAAAACGTTCATCCCACCTGCTGGTCTTTTGCTCTGCCCCCCTTTTTTCCTTTTTCTTTTTTTAATACCACGAACAGCATGGATAAGTAACTATCAGGTCAGTCAAATCCTTGGCTATTAATTGCCTCACTGAAATTGCTATAGTTATCCTGTCCCAGTCATCAGTGTTCAGGGTTTTTCTTTTTTCGAGAAAGAAGGTCCTCTAGTTCATCTTGCTGATATTAAGACAGCTCATCCACATGACGTGGTTATGAGATCATGTCCTGAACATCACTGTTAGGTCTCTGTCGCACAGCCAGGGGAGGCAGTGGCTTCCCATAGAAATCTATATATAGAAGGCATAACAAAAATACAGAACAGTTATGCTAAACAGATATTTGTGACACAATTCATTATTTGCCAACCTACACCTTTAGAAAAAGACACTTTGACTTGATAGATGAAACAATAGGAGAATAGAAAATCAAAATCCAAGAAGAATGAATCCAAAACACAACCACTAGGGTAAATCTTTAACACTACATTGTAAATTATTCTCTATTTGATTTAATAAGAAGTTGTACCTAATGTACACATTATTATTTTTGTTTCCAATTACATGTTCACATTAGAAGAGAATGAGTAACAATATTCAAAATCTATGGAACCTGTTGTCAAAGCCCTGATAAATCAGTGTTTGTATAATTTATGTTGTTATCCAATTGCTATTACTTCTAGGTATTTTGGAAGAAGTAATTAATTACCTTAGTGTTCTGATAAGTAGGAATCTTTTATAATGATGCTTTGATATAGTTTAGTGATTGAGGGCATATTTGATTCAAAAAGTCTTTTTTTCTATTTCATAATAAATTCCTATCCCTTCATTATCACAAATTGGTTTAGAAATCTAATAGCACATCTAAATTTCCAGTAAGTAATTAATTAGTTTCTGGCTTAATCCCTTAAAATTATTCTAGAAGCATAGGTGTTCAGGATTACTTGAAACAAATAAATTGGAAATGTATTAGGTGGGCACACAATGCAATGCACAGATCATGTGTCACAGAAATGTATTCTTGAAACCTATATGGTTCTATTAACTAACATCACTCCAATAAACTTAATTTAAAAAGAAAGACAATGTATTAGGGGCCCATTTTCATTTCCAGTTCTACATGTGTCTGGAGTTGAGCTAAGCTACTCCATGGTATTGCTTCCTCAGCATCCATTTTGCCTGGCCAAGTGGCTGTGCTGGGCCTTAAACAGACAGTAGCTCTTCATGCAAACACATGCCCCCGATAACTGCCTGCAGAGTCATAAGTAAGTTCATGATATGACTTCCCCCAATGATCCTTGTGGTCAAAGTCTCCCTCTTCCTCTAAGGCCTCTTCTCATATAAGACCCTAGTAGAACTTAACAAAACTCCACTCTTTCTGGTTTGAATGGACATGTTTGGCCTTAGCTTGAGAACACCAAAGCACATCACCCACATACCCCAAAAACAGCAAGTGCCCCAGGTCCTGTAGATCTCTCTGCCTGCACCCTAGCTTGAGCATCCCTGCAGAACCCTCGAGTGTACTTCCTCCAAAACTTGTGATTAATAACTTTCTCTATTGCAGTTTCTCTTGCAGTCTTTCAAAACTCAAGCTTACCATATAGCATGCAGGGGTTCACCTTAACAAATGTTAATTTAACAAAATCATGACAGCATTTACAGAACTTGGAAGTCACCACTCCATCCTAACATGAAATAAATAACTGAACAGAATGAAAAATCAACAACTCTCCTTGGATCCGTAAGAGAGGGCAGGTCACAGGAAAAAACACTGCCTCCAATACTGGATGGACAGGCAAACACAGGAGTCTCAGTTTATTGGAGCAGACATTCACGAATAGAAGCTGCCCAGGGAACCAGTATCTGGGTAGGGTAACCTAGCAAGAAGTATCTTTTTCCCTCCCAAAACATTATTTTATTTTTGCAGTTGATTTTATATTAGTTCTTTGCCAGAAAACTTAAATCATTCTACAAAGTAGGCTGCTTATCAGCTTAACTGTAGGGAATATAATAAGTTGACCTTAGTGTCCAACTGGTATAACTAACTTAACACCCATTTTTATAATGGGTTCAAACACTTTTAACATGAAAAACTGAAGAGCAGTAATACTACATACAGAATTTTTAATTTTGAAAACATTCTCTAGTTTATATATGTGGTATTTTTGAATAATTTTTTTATTTATTTCTCATAATGTACAACACGTAACATATTAATGAAGTACGGACTGGATATGTTTACAAAGGGAAAATGGACCCTCATCTATTCTCTGAATGCGTTTGTCTTACCTGTTACACTGAATGAGCTTTAGAGACAATAAAAGCAATTAGAAAAGTAGAATCAAACTGTTATCAAGGTAAATGTCTATAATCAAAGAACAAGTAAGAATCTGCCGTAAAAATTCCCATCAGACTAAAACAAATTATTTTCATCACAGTAAATTTTAAGTGCCGAACCAATCACAGCTGAATTTACTTACCTAAGCTAGTTCATCATGTATCTAATTGCCATGAACTGAATGCAAAGAAATGTGTACAAAGAGGAAAAAAGAGAATGCAATTATGACACTGGCACCTATCAGCATCTCATAAAGATCTCATGGTAAACCCTAAAAATTGTTATTAAATTATTTTATTAAAAAATTTAATTTATTGTATCTGCTTTTTTCCTCCATTAGTATAAGCAGAAATGATCATTGTTTTTTAATCCAGTTTAGGTATACTCTGACTTAAAATTCATGAAAAAAATAATGAAGATATTTTTAAAACTTTTGAACTTATAGTATTTTCTTCTTTGTTATGAAAACTGAATTTATTGACACAAACTGAAAATTAACTGAAATATAGGAATATGGTCGTCCTAAACTTAATTTTTATCATTCCCAGTTTTATTTTTTAAAATAAAGGAAAAACAAAACAAAAACAACCTCTCAGCCCATTTTTAATCTCTTTTTCTATTTGCCCTTAAATATGTTACCCCTAGATGCTACCATTAGTTCTTTTCTCTGCATTCTACATACTTTCCCTCAGAAACAGGAAACTGTAATTCTCTCAATTGCATTCACTTAGTAAACAATCGCAGAGCACCTATTATGGGCAAAGCACTCCTATTGTGTGATGACAACTGAAATAAAAAAGAAAATCTCCCTACATACCCTCCCCCACACACTGGGCCCTTCTTTTCTCCTGAGCCCCAGAGTCATATTCGTACTAGACCACTGACGTTTCCGAACAGTTAAGCCTACAGACACCTCCAAAGTAGGTTTTCTTCCTCCTCATGGATTTTCAATCTTACAGAGAGCATCAGCCTTCCAGCCCCTCTAGCCAAATAATCCTCTATTCCTCTCTCCTTTACCCCTTAAGACCATTCATCAAGTATTAGCTAATTGTTAAAATACTCGTTGTATACATGTTTTACTCTCCATTGCAATTTCCATTCCTCCCTTCTCGCTTTGAGTACTACAACAGCCTCCTAACTGGGATCCTTTCTTCAGGTGTGGCCACCATCAAGTCTGTAATTCACATTGTGTCAAAAATAGTTTTCCTAAACAACAAATCTAGTAACACTATTTCCCTGCTAAAAATGTATAGTGTTTCTTATAAAATTATAGCAAGTCCAGACATCTTAATGTATATTGTGAAGCCCTTTACAATCAGTCCCTAAACTATAACTCCAGTTTCAACACTCTCTATAACTTTACATTTCCTCTCCTACCCACTCTATCCACATGAACATGAGATCCAGACACAAGTAGCTTCACGCTATTTTCCAAATATCCAGTGTCCTCCCCAACCTTTGAAGCCGACTGTTTCTTGTGCTGACAGACTTTTCTCCTTTAAAGGCCCAGTTCTAACACCACTTTCCCCAGCTGCCCCAACAGTTTGTGTACAGTACTCCAATTCTACACCACAGAACTTATTACTGTATACTGTGAATTGTCATATAGTAAAATAAGATGAAGTATGACCTTCTCTATTAGATTAGGGCCCCCAGAAAGGCAGAATTTGTCTTATTCATCTTGGTATCACCAGTGCTTTAGGCTGTGTCAAATACAAAATAGTTATTTGTTGGATAGCTGATTCAGTAAGAGAAAAAATATCAGTCAGAGGGGATATTAATGTTTTCTATATATACATGTCTGTGTATATACACACACAAACACATATATTAATATTACCTATTTTTTTCTAGCACCACACTGAATATTTAAACTGATAATGTACTCTAACATACATAATTTCAGAGTATAATAAAATAGAAACTAAACTACTATTGTCAGTAAAAGCATTGCGATATAAAGTCATTCAACCAAACACATATGATTTTCCTGTAATTTCTGTCTTCAAAAATGAAAACAAATTTTTTAATTTTTGCTAATGATTACTGGTATACTCAAATGATCTGATTCTACAGTTGTGTTGGTATTTACTTCATTTGAATATTCAGCAACTTGTCTTATTAGAAGCAGAGAAACAGCTACATGGCATCATTGAGTACATTGGGCACATATGTATAAGACAATGCAGTTTTTAAAGCACTCCAATTGTAATTTCTATTTAATTTAAATTGTTGTAAAGCCTTTCACTTTCTATCACAATTTACATACATATCTGAGTATAATGGATAAACACATGCTATGATTATTTTTACCTCTGCAGTGTAAGGTAAACATCAATTCCAATTATTTAGAAGCAAAGAACACTTAAAAATAAAAAAAAATTAAATAAAAGGAGAAAAAAAATGATGTATAATGAAAAAGGATGGCTACGAGTTCTTCCAAAACTATAAGTTTGTTGAAGTAATGAGGTAAGGAAAAGTGAATGTAGTATGTATAGATATTTGAAAACTGATCCTTTTGTATTACCATTATGACGTGTTTCACCAAGAGGCTCAAGCTTTGGAAGTCTAGTGACTTTGGGGGTTCCCCAGCCAACTGAAGAAAAAGAAAAACATTTAAGCACTGTTAAATAATGTCTCTTTATTTAGGTTGGTTGAGAGGATCCCTTTCTATACAAGAATGTATATAATACTTGACGTCAATTCATATATACTGAATGGCACGATAATGATTAGCCATAAACTCATTTTAAATTTCTATTTTAAAATGTCATACATGTTAACATTTGCTTTAAGTATCATTTATCTTTAGTTAAAAATATAACTATCTTCACCACTACCATAAAAACCTTAAGCTATTACTGTAATCTCTAGCAGAGGCTACAAGAAATTTTTACTTATAAAGTGGAATACTAGAAATGAGCCTGCAAATAATTCTCAAAGGAGAATGTTACCATCTAAAGCCTTCTAGCAGGGCTAGAAGGGCAGTATAAACATATACATTTAGATATTTATTGAGCAACCTATAGGATACAAGGTACTATGCCTAATGCTGAAAAATTACTTATAGTTATTGTGCAGTTCATATGTCCCAGTGCTTTACAGGCAGTGTATTCCATGTAATCCTCATAACACCTTAGAAGGTCAGTATGTATGTTAGAAATATAATGAAAAAATTCATGTATCTTCGTTTTAACTGTTAACTTTCATGATGAAAGATGCATTTTTAAAAGCTTGTATTAGCCATCCATTATACTTAAATTCCTTTTAGCAACCTGTGCACTGATATTTTAATTAAATTTTGAATCTATTCTAGTAAGTGCCTGGATAAAGTTTTCTTATTAATTTTTACTTATTTTTTTACGTTTATAAGCATTTTTTATGGTTAAAAAAAGTAATAAATACTTATGTTCATAAATTACGAACAAAATCAAGTGAAGAATTCTACCTTTTTCACCAATGCACAAGATAATGAATATACTGAATAAATACTACGTAATTTCCTTCTTTATCTTCATTGTTTAAAGCAGGATTTCTAAATTCAGTATCAATATCAAAGTACTCACCAGGAGGAGGAGGCGGGGGTGGTGCTGGGCTCTTAGGAGCAGAGTCATCTGTATTAACAGGTTCCACACGGTGACTCCTTTTTATTCTTAGTTTCTTAGTTTTCTTTTTACTATTATCTACAAGAATATAAACATGAAACTTGGGAAAAATTAAATTTATATAATAAAAATTAAGACTAGAACTAGAATATTGATATTATTATTATCACAGAAATATATATTTAATTCAAATTGGAAATTATTACCAATAACAAAATGTGAACTTGCTTTTACTAAGAAATAAATTCTTAAATGATTGCTTATTAAATGATTAGCAAACATGATACAAACAACAGAAAGCCTATATTCTAAGTTCTATGAGAGGTTATTCAGAATACAAAAAAAGTTCACATTTTCAAAAGTAACACTGTTTTCAAATATTATATAAGTAAATACAATTATCTAATTGCAAGGATTTCCATAAAACTCAGAATGATCTAGGGAAAGAGGAAAGGTGTTGACTTATCTCAGTAGGAGATCCTATATAGAGATCTGTCTGGGAAAACATCCAACCATTGTTAATATAATGAGAATGATTTGGGTGACATTGATTTAACCTGGCAGCCAAGGAGAATGGACTGGAATGCGTGTGCATGAACAATGGTGATTTCACTGTACTAGTTAGTGGGGGCAGTAGATGCCATTGAGTGAGCATGAGTATTGTGTGGCCATTGCATTCAAAGTGACTGAGCGAACAGAGCAATGAATCTGCATCAAATTTTTCATTAAGTTTGAACATTCCTCTGTGGAAACTATTTGATTGATTCAGAAGGCTGCAGCTATGGGCAACTGGTGATTGACAGCTTCATCATGACAACATGCCCATTCATGCATCATGTCTCGTTACAGTTTTTCGACAAAACAGCAATCACCCAAGTGACTCTACCCATCTACAGCACAGATTTGGTGCCCTATGACTTCTGGCTTTTCCCAAAACTAAAATCACCCTGAAAGGGAAGAGATTTCAGACCATTAGTGAGATTAAGGAAAATAAGTTGGGGCAGCTGATGGCAACTGGGAGAACTGTGTGAGGTCCCAAGATGTCTACTTTGAAGGGAACTGAAGTGTCATAGTCCTATGTACAATGTTGTATCCTGTATCTTCTTCAATAAATGTCTCTATTTTTCAAATTACATGGCTGGATACTTTCTGGATATATATATGTATGTATGCATGTATCATATATATGTGTGTATGTGTGTGTGTGTGTGTGTGTGTGTGTGTGTGTATAAAATAAATCAGGGGTCCCCAACCTCCCTCCTCTAGGTCTGTGGGTGCCACTTGCATTACTGTCTGAGGTCTGCCTCCTGTCTCCCCTCTCCAACCCCAGCCAGTGGAAAAACTGTGTTCCACAAAACTGATCCCTGGTGCCAAAAAGGTTGAGAACTGCTGGTATAAATAATCAAAAAATAAATATTTGAAATGTGAAAATGACCCTACTCAAATCTAAACACATTACCCTTTAAAATAACCCCCAAATAGGTATACCCAATATAAATACAGAAAGGGGCAAAGGGTGATTTACAGTTATTTGTATGAAAAATAATGCAATAATTAATAATAATAATATAACAATAAATTCTGTTTTGCATACTCACAATTGTAAACCTACTTTTGCCCTACCCAGTATATACAACCAAAAATCACACTAGATTTTTGCAAGCAGAATTTGTATTCTTTTAACAAATAACTATTTACAGATTCTCATATAAGCACACAATAATATTTTAAGAACATCTATGTTGTTAGTAGGTAGACTCTAACAATGTAAGCCAGGATGGCATAATACTTAAGTAACCAAACATAGAAGTTACTGAAATATTTTCATTGACAATCCCATACCAAATTTATATACTATGTAATACATTTTCTAAAATGGTAATTATCTGTTATTTAAGAAATAGTCAACATCTATAAAACCTACAAAGCCATGAGAAATACAAACATATTTAGAAATATGTTATTTTCTAAATCAATTGGTGTCATTTGACACATTTCACTCCGGATGGAAACAAAGACATCTTTTTACAATTAGAGCTGTAAGCTTTATAGCTGGCAGAAAGGAAATGGTACTGAGCTCAGCATCATGGAAGAGCATTAACATTAGAGCAGATAATCCGAGGTGGGGTCTCAGCCTGGCCACAGGTAAGATGTATGATCTTAAAAAGGTTAGTCAACCTCTCCAAGCCCCTGGCTTCCTATTCTATACAATGGGAATAATATACCCTAGGATTACTACAACATAATGCTATGTCAAATAATATAAGGCATATGAAACCATGTTCTAAATTATAATGTTAATTATAATAATTATTATAGTTATATGATTGACTAACTTAGATCTTCCTATGCGTTATTTTCAAATATCTGTCAAAAAACTTTGCTCTTCAATGATGTATTTGTGTTAGAAAGAGGACTTTCAATATATTGAGAGGCTACTCTAAGTCTGTTTTCTCTTTAACTCTGCTGCCAGAGCTATATGGGTATGAATATGGCTACCCTAACTGCCCAACTTACAAAAAAGTACAACTCTTAAATCTAATTATTTATACAGCAAAATATCCATGTTAGCTAACCTGCCCCTGAAAGCCTGAGATCTCTCTCATTTTCATAAAGTTTTTGATACTGTATAAAAATCCTTATATACAATGGAACACATTGCTAACTAGGAATGGCAAGGAACTAATAATTACTAGATAGCTCCCATGTGTCAGGCCCATGCTAGAACATTGTAGAATTATTTTTATTATAAGCAACTTTAAAATCTGTTTAAAAATGATGCTTATTTCCATTTTAGAGATGAAGGAGACTGAAGAATGTCACATAACACAGCATGTATCTAATAAACGCAAAAGTCAGGGTTCCGTCCCAAGTTGTCTGATTCCAGATTCAGGCTGTGTCTTTGATACCAAAAGACATGAAATGCTTGTTAAATTATATAACCACTTAGAAAAAGAAAAGTGATTTTGAATTGAAAATTTTACATGATATTAAGGTAAGAGAAAAATGGCTATGTGATAAGGCTTTAAAAATGTTCAACTGATTCTGGCTGCATCCTACAGAAATAGCATGTCAACAAAGGAAATGATGCTGACTGTAGCATTATGAGGTTTAAAAAAACACAAATGAAAACCTCAAAAAGCCTTCAACGTATGAAATACATTCCAAGGATTCCTGGAGCTATGTTATATTCCAACTTTTTGAAAATTTCTGCTGAAATTCTTTTAAGTTGCAAAAGACTACATTTTAAGGCATCTTAAATAAAAACATGTTATCACATTGGCTAATGAATAACTAAAAACCATGATAAAACCATGATAAATACTGCATTTAGAGACACAAAATATAATTGTTTATGAAAATAATCATGACAAAGAAGTATAATTAAGTTATGTATATATTATATATGTAATCTTCTTATTTAATAACTAGATTTATCACCTGATTCTGATGATGGCTGGTATGTCTCGTCTTCATTCTCCAACTGCTGTGTTAATGCTTCATTATAATTTTCTACTATTCCAAACTCTTTGGTTTGTTGGCTACTGTCACTGATCTGGCTCTGTGTCTCTATCTGCTCATGCTCCATTTTGTGTTTCAGAGGGCAGTCATCACAGCCTTTCTCTATATTTTGCTGCTTTTTCTCTTTTTCAAGCTTTTTTTCATTCTAAAAAAATGAAATATATCATCTTTAATGTAACAGTTGTATCTAAGATAGTTTTAAGGAAAAAAGCAAATAATCCAAGAGTATTCTATAACTTCAGAAAACTGAGATTTCCATTAAAAATTATTTGTTAAATACATAATTGAAACACGCTAATTGCCAAACATCCAGAAAACAGATTGTATAGAGGAAGAAAACAAATATTACCAGTAATTCTACAGCCTACAGATGACCACTATTTGATGTATAAGCACTAAGAGATGCTTTTCTTGGCCTACCACACACATACAGACATACACCATCCACAAACATACACAAATATGATAGATTGTTTCTATATACATATTTACTTGTCTTTTAAACAAAAGGACTGAAGTTTTTATTTAAGAATATATATTTCTTTCTTTAGAATAGTGCCTGATGCCTTGTAAAGTGTTAGCTAAATGTCAAATAAGTGTTAGCTATGATTGCCTTCACCAATTACATTATCATTTTGAGTGGTTATATCATAACTTATTTTACAAATTCCTGATCAATTAACAAAGGGGTTACTTCTATTTTTCACTATTAACAGAAACACAACTATTGAATTAATTCTTTAGAATAAACTCCTAACATTAGAACTGCTAATAATGAGTAAGCACATTTTTAAATGTGACACACGACAACCTTCTCTTCAGAAAAACTAAAGCCAATTTACACCCTAGGCAAAAGGTTGAGAGAGTGATATTTCCCCATATTTTTTTGAATGCTGTATATCATTTTTAATCTTTCATATCTCCGTCAAAATAATAAATGTTTTTATTCAGTGTTGGTTTACTTACTGTTTTTATTACTATTATCAATATAAAGATGAAGTATTGAATATCATTATTGCTTTTTTTTATTTTTCTTTAGGGAACTACCCACAGTAAACCAATGTCCACTTTTTTATTTGATTCTCATTATTTTCATAGTAATTTTTAAGGGTTCTTTTTTTGTCCTATGTGTCTTAAATATTTTTCATTAGGCTTTGCTTGGGTTTTATTGCCTCTAACTTTATAGACCAGCTCTTAAAATAACTGAACATAACAAGATCTATCTATTTTTACTTCATGATTTATGGTTTGATTGTCTTGCTTTGAAAGTTTTTCCTCTTCCAAATATATAATGTTTAACACTATTATGTGCTAGTTCTTTTTAAGGCTTCTTTTTAAAAAAATAATACATTTAAATCTTCTGGATTTAATACGGCATATACAGTGTTTACTAATTTTATTTTTTTCAAAATGACTATTCAGTTTTTCCCGCATCCTCTTCTCCCAGATTTGAAATGTTATTTTTATCTTATACAAAATGCTCAGACATAATTAGGTTTACTCAATGTTTATTAATGTTCCATTGGTTCCATGGGAATCAATATCTCAACATTTTTATCTGTAGTAAAAATCAAAGAAATGTAAGCATGCTTCTCTAAAATGCAAAGATTTTAAGGAACAAATTTTGGGGGAGAAAAGGAAAATATGATCAGCATAAAGGACTATAGGTAATCTGTTTTCATTTGGTTTATTTCTTTACTGATCTTAAAATTATTGTAGCTTAAAAGCATAATTGGTGAACCTTCCCCATGCTCCTAATTAATTTGGGGATTTCCAATACAAGGTATACTACTTTGTACACCACGATTGTTCACATCTTCATTCAATGAAAAATACAATGTTGGTAGAAGCATTAAGGTTTTTTCTATGTAACCATAGTACTAGAAAATTGGCCATTACTTTCAAAGTGAGCTTTATTACACACATAAATTAATGTTTAAAAGTAAAAAGTCAAACTTGGTTTTTCTCTTCTCCATCAATATTTTTTAAAGGGCATAAAACAAAACTTGACAAAAATAATATTTAAAAGGAGGGAGACAAAATAATAGCTTCGTATTAAGATAACAGCTTTACAAAAAAGACAGCTTTACTGTACTTAAAAAAGCACACATTTAATTAAGTGAAATGCAATGGGGTTAATAAAAAGATTAACTACAATTAACCTTCTGGTACCTAAGCAACTTAAGTCCAAATATTTCATATTCCAATTATTTTGCAAATAAAGCAATACAAAAATTATCCAATCACCTTCTTACCTGTGGAGCTGCCTCCCTCCTCAGCAGCAGCCCCAATGAAGAAACAATCATCCACCTTCCCAGATGAGCACCTGTGTGGAAGGAGGCACTGACAGCGGAAGGGGAATGGAGAACATATAGGCAGTGGGACCAGCAAACCAGCTGCCACATTAAGCTCTGGTGACTGGAGAGCAAGTTTAGGAAGTTCTGCCTCAGAGGAAGCATGGCTGCTGAGGGCGAGTAAACTTTATAAACTCTGGGCACCAACAGAAGATGAAAACAAAGACACAGATATACAGACATCCACACACACACAGACCACATACAACCCCTTAATTTCTTCATGATTAATAATCCACAAGTTAATTTTGCTAAAACTTCTGACAATTACAATTAAAATAAATCACATTTACATACAGAAGAAATTGTTATAGTTTGAAACACTCAAGTATCCTGGGTGAACAATAAGAAATTCATTTATGTACTATAAAGCATTATAAGCATCTAAATATTATTGTAAAGAGATGCTAGTAACAGCAATACAGAGATAAAGACACAATGTAAATAAGAGTAAATATATTAATACCATAGGAAATAAATAACAAAAAAGATTTTTCAGAGCAGTAACTATTACAGTGGCTACATTCAATCTCAATTTTTATTCTCAGTTAATTCTGGAGTCACCTTTCCTTTTTATATTAGAAGATAAATTTGAAGAGAAAAAGAGCAACAAACCTTTAACCTGTCTCTCCCATTTAATTCTTTTAGAAATAATCAGTCTCTGGTGAAACATTTCTGCGTCCTTTCCCAATTCCCTGACTCCTTTCTTAACCTCCAAATTTATAACTTAAGATATAAAAATTCCATTTGCCACCATCCATACCTCAATGATTACGGTTGCTATCGGCTGGAAAGGATTAACAATAACTGGTTCTGGGTCCATCTCAACCAGACCACTTGCTCCATCGCGTTTAGCCTGCTCTTGCTCTCTTTGTTCTCTATTGTTTGAGAGAAAAAAAAAATGTAATTCCTGAGAGAATGCTGAACCATACTTAAGAACACTTGCAATAGGATTAAGGCTATTAAATTTAGTAATTTAAACATCTAGGTGTGGCTTTGAATTACTGATGATTTTCAGACATCTTTATGTAGGTAACAGGCCTTTATCTCCATGTAAAGATTATTCATTTCAATTTTTAAGAAAAGAAATGCTGACAAAAATAACATCCCCTATAACTGATTTCTTAATGCGACAGTGCATATTAATCATTTTTCTATGTGCTAAGTGTTTATATTTAACTGTTTATTAATTACTACCCCAAACCAATGCTTTCCTCTTCACTGATGTTAACAGATAAGTCCTCTTGTTAACCCTCTTCTGAAGGGCGGTGTCAAATTATTTATCACACATAAACTGGACAATGACTGTTGCTGTGCATAATAGAAGGGGCTAGGAAGATAAATTACACTATATCACTTAGATTAAATAAGTATTTCCATATTCATTACTATTGAAATATTTTCTCTCTCTGATTTATAGTTAATGTAGTCCCATACATGAGGAGTAGTTAAGTTATAAAACAAGTAGCTAAAGACAGAAAGATGACTAGTGTAGATCTCCAACTAGGCTGCTAGTATAGCAATGTGAATGTTTATTACCATGACGTTTATTAATTATGTCTTCTGATGGAAAGATATATCCTTTCATTCTGAACTGAGAAAGCGAAGATTTAGAAATCTGCAGTTTACTACCTTTGTGACCTTGGACGCGTATCTGCATCTTTGAGCAACAGCTTTCCCATGTGGATAAAAATACCTACTTCATAGGATTTTGTCAGCTAATGTGATATATGTGAAAGCACTCTGTAAATGAACATACTTATAGGACTGTAGTTGTTAGTAATGCTATTTATTAATAAGCAATTCCAGTATCTAGTATTAAAATACTGTTTTAAGATACCAACAATGATGTGTTTTACAATTTTTCAACAATATATGACTCTATTCAATTAGATTTAATGAAGTAAAAAGTTGTTTTTTTTTTAAATCACTCCTCTCTAAATGCCAATTTACTTTTAATTATAGAGACTCTGCTCAACAAGATAGGCCTCTGACTACATGTGGCATGGCTAGGAGAAAGAAGGAAAGGGGAATGGGTATTAGAAAAGCCGGCCACAACATGAACTAGAATATCTTTATAGAAAAGTTAAGACCTTGAAAAAAAAATAACTAACAGGTTTCTTTTATCCAACTCAACTTTTTGTTCTTTTTGTTTGTTTTCTTAAATGAAAGAGGAGTCTTCACTAAAGTATGACCATACATTTTATTTTTATAAATATATAAAAGGTAGGTCCACATGAATGATTGGGATTGTACTGAGCTTTATATCATAGAAATATACAGTGACAGAAAACAAAAGATTCTCACAGGAACTAAAATCTCCTATCCGTACCAAGAGAAGCCTAGGTAAATTACCTGCTAATATTATTGAACACTTAGGGATAGAGAGTTATCTCTACAAGTATTTTTTTCCTTTAAGTCTACCTCTAAATTAAATGAAAGATACCTATAATCAGAGAATTTCCCTGACAATGTCAGAGACACCACACCAAGATCACCGAGTGGGTTCATGTCTAGCAGGCTATAACTATGTTAACGCACATGGAAGGCTAATATTACTTAGGTAGATGGAAGACGACTTTGGAGCTTGTAGGAGCTCACTTAAACATCTTTCCATTTTTCCCCTCCCCTCCCATGCAACTATCCAGCTGAGAAAAGATAAATATTGGGATTTAGCACTAAATTCAATTTTTAATCAAATCTAAGCACTTTTTTTGTATCATTAAGATTATTATAAATGATTCTGTGGTAGAATTTATGTAATCATTTCTTTTTAAATTCAGAGTTTGCTAAATTTAGTTTAAAATTTTGCTTTCAGGAATTATATTTTTAAAATAATCTGAAAAACATATTTTAAAAACTTGAGAAAGTGCAATTTAGTTTATTTTCTGACAAAACTTGTGTTCAAGATTGGATTTTGCCTCAGTTACCTGATCCACTAACTGATTACCTTCTGTCTTTGCTGAAACTGAAGAAGATTTCTCAATCTATTGACATAGTGCACTCAGTAATTCGTTGTCAGGGAATAATTCGTCGTCTGTCCTGTACAGCTGCTTCCTGGCCTCTGCTCACTACATTGCCAGTAGCACAACATCTCCCACACCTGTGATGAGTAAACAGGCCCCTAGATACTGCCAAATGCCCTCTGAGAAGCAACAGCTTATTGTTTGAAAACCACTGCAATAAAAGTATCCATAAGAAATAGGAGATAAAAATTTTAAAACTCTTAGAAATAATACATACATAAGGAATAAATTTAACTACTGTAACACCACCAGCAAAAGTAGAATCCTATCACTCAAACTTACATAAAGATCCATAAAAGTACAAAACTGATCTAGTGTCTTCCTTCAGACAAAAAAAAAAAAAAGGAAACTGAATAGACAAAACTAAGAAATTATGCATAAAATTTTGGTGTATTTTTGACTTTTCAAATGCACTGTGGTACAAAATTAATCTACTTACCTTTCTTCTCGTAATTTTCGCACTCGTTCAGCCCTTTCTCGTTTCTCTTGTTCCTCAAGAGCACGTTGTTCTGTTGTGTCTTTTTGGATGCGTTCATTTAAGGCATCAAAGTCTCTTGCAATGATATGTAGCAGCCAATAAAGGCCTTTTTTAATGGACTTGTCAATTTTCTTTCCAGATCCCAAGACTGCCGAACAAGGTTCCTGAAAAACAACAATTTATTTGACTTAAAGATCAAAAGTTCTCCACAAAAATGTATTCATAAACCATTAAGTATAATTTCTGGTAAATAAAAATTAACCCATTAAATTAATTACATGAAGCACCTGGTTATTTAACTCATAAAACAGACATCTGCAACGACCATTAACATTAGTACGCAGGAGCTGAAATATTTTAAATACAGTATCTGTAACCTATGAGAGGTATTATGACATAAGAAGTTGACAGTGCCAGTTAGAACTTTAAACAAACTCACTGAAAGACAAAACTTCCAGAATAAAATGCCCCTATTTATTAAAAATACCAGAAAGTTTTAATTCCTTATACCTGGGAATTTATAGCACTGATCATCTTTTAAGGCTGATACTCTAATGACCATCTTCTGAAACCAGAATAAACTTACTAATATGATATTTTAAAACTCATTTAATCCTCTCCTATGTTTAAATTTTGTATTTATGTGTGTGTTTTCTTTTTACCATTTACAAAATTTATAGCAAGATGTGTTTGTATAGCTTACAAGTCTTGTCAGCATCATCTTAAACAAAAAGCAAACCTACAGTCTTTAAAATCTCAAAAGATAGTTTACAGAATAGAAAACAAATATCACAATATTAAGTAATATTTTAAAAAACTGTGAAAATGCGATTTCTGGGGTAAAAAAAATTCTTTTAAAATACTAATGAATTATTTTGTTAGCTGTTTACACCTAATCACCTATCACCTTTACAAAAACTAAATTATACTGAAGATATTTCATAGGACAAAAAAACCCCCCCAAAACTCTAAGACTTACTATTTGACACAGGCACCTGTGTTCATTGACCATTTTTTCCAGAGATAGACATTCAATCACATCAGCTTCTCCTAAAGCCCCTTCCTTGTCTTGTTTATTTGCCAACCTAGAGAGATATAAAGTGATTTTATAGCAAATATATAATCAGACAGCCACTTCAAAATATTTTGACCACGTCCTAATTCCAAAGTTCTAAACCTATTGACTACAGAAGAAACCAGTTTAAGAGAGTACTTTAGTATCCGTTTCATCATTTTCCCTTTACTGCTAAAATAAATTTGTAAGAATTAGCATAAGAAAAACAGGTAAAGTGTCAAGAAAACAAGTAATAAGTCAATAGTCCAACAAAAAAGGCTATAAAGAGAAAAAGAAGTGGACTAGTTTTCTCAGCCTTCAGTCATCCATCAATTCTAATTTTCACATTAAATATCTTTATTATCTTAAAATACATTGCATCAGGATGTAAATGCCCTTATCTCATGCCCTTATCTTCTTAAATAGGTGTTCACACTTTAAAATAAATTTATTGATTTTAGAGAGGGAGGGTGAGAGAGAAACATCAATGGATTGCCCCCACTTAAGTGCCCTAACCAGGAATCGAACCTGTGACCTTTTGTTACATGGGACGACGCTCAAACTGAGTCACACTTGCCAGGGCCAAAGTGTTCATGTTTTAAACACCCAAATATTTATTCTGAGTTTGTACTATTTGAGCTTGTCTGCATTTCCAGTATGTGAATGTATCCATTTAAATGTGCAATTTAACGGAGAAGTGGGGCCACTTCTATCTATAAGAATTTACTTTGCATAGCACTGTACATAAAGAACATTATATTTAATTACAAACAAATTGGGAAACAACAAAAGGAAAAACTAAAATAAGATCTAAAAAAATTATCACAAAATACCACAATTTACTATCAGATGGCAGAGGTCAAAAAGTTTAAATACTATCATGGTCAGGGTTTGATATACATTTCAGGTAAATATATATTGTTTAAAAAATACACAGAACAAAACACCTAGTGAACCCTTATCAATTCTCTTTAAAAATTATCCATATGGTGCTGGTACTTAGGAGGCATCTGGCTGTATCACATTTAGTGATGTTAAAACAGATTAGTGGATTCAGCGGAAGTCAACCCGATCAGCCAAAATACTATCATTGAATGAGTTCAGCATCCACTGATGACCTCTACTAAATTCCCTGATTTTATAATAGCTTATAAAATCATGACTTTTCTAGTTCTTATTCCTTTTGTATTTACTAGTTGTATTTTTTGCTAAAAAGTAAGCTTTCATCAACTACTTGCTTACTCTTACTTAAATACAACTCAAAGTCAAGAAAAATGTTCAATCCTTTCCCTTCATTTCCTAATATTAGTAATAATAAATTGGTGCTCTACCAATCTCCAAAAGTGATCACGTTGCTTTCCTTGGTTTATGGGGGATATCATTATGAAATAATGGATTATTAAAATATATTTTATATGTTTCAATATTTTGTAGCTACTGTTTTGTTTCAGTTACCCATTATTGGTCAGTGGGAGTCCCTTTTTATTTTGCTCCTGTGTTCTTTTGGTACAACTCCCATACTCTTTGGTATCTTCTTGCTTTTTTGTAAGAAATAATATTCCAGACCTGGAATCAGCCATTGCTTAAAGGGGTCTTCCCCTTTTTCTTCCTTTTGGACAGATGGTATTTTAATGACCACAGCCTGGGTGCTATGGACATTTGTTGCTATTGACTTGCCTTTGTTTTCTAGCTCCTTTCAGTCCACAAGCCAGGGGAAAAAATGTATTTTTTAAGAAAGAAAAAATTTAAATCATGAGCTCATATTGATTTTCCCATTTAAATCAAATATTAGCAAGTTTTTACTCAGCTTCTTAAAGTGTGTAACTTTTTTCTTAAGCTGAAAACTACAGTTCCTAGTAACACTGTTACTGACTATTTGCCTTATCCTATAACCCATATAAGAGATCCACTACAATACCAATATAATTACTAAAAGTAAGATTACTAAATGCAGGTTAAAATCTTTGTGGTTATTCTTGTCTCTGAAATACATCCCACAACAGATGCACAGTCAAAATATTGGGTTTTTAAAATTACTTGAAATAATCCCTGTTTATATGGTAATATCACCATATAGCTAGGTTCACTTGTTTCAGCCTGCTTTTGCTTTTTAGTTTTATATTTTACCTTAAGGTTTAATTTTTAAAACATTTATGTGGTTTCAAATTCAAAACTATAAAAACAAAGTTCAATCAGGAGTCCTTCTCCTCCCTCTATCCCATCCATTCTCCTGTAAATAACCATTTTCGTTAGTTTTCAGCTTATTGTCCCCCCTCCCCAGTTATTTCTTTTTGAAAATATAAACATGTGTATGGGCAAAATGATATGTTAAAGATCACAATTTGGGCACTATAGATGTTAACTGCTATTGACTGGCCAGGGGATGTTTGTGTATGTGTGTCTCCACATTTCCTCTTTCTCAGAAACTAACATATTATATACATACTCCTGTGTACCACCTTCCATCTTTTTAAACAGTAAATCTTAAAATAACCCTGAAGCAGTGTAAAGACATCTTCTTTACTACTATATTCTTTATAAATGAACAAAACGCTCATTATATGGGTGTTTCATTGTTTATTCAGCCAAACACACACTGAAGGACTTTTGGGTTGTTTCCAGAGGTTTGTTTTTACAAAGGGTGCTATGAAGAGTAAGTATGGGAAAACTTATTTCTTATGCTGGGAACGGATTACAGGAAGTGGAGATACTAAATCAAAGAATGAAATGCAAATGTTATTTTGATAGAAATTATGCCAATGCCCCTCCTCTCACCGTCAAATCATAAAAATCAGGCAGGAAAAAAAAAGGGACAGGAAGGAAATTTAGCAGTGTTAGAGACATTTCATTTCTAATTTTTCAAACAAATACTTCAGTCTTGTAAAAATTAATTTTGAATTTTTATATTAATATAAAAACAGCACAATATATTGCTACATAACTTTTGTATATTGAAAACTATGGAAGAAACTTATTTTAAAATAGGTCTAATAAAAAATGCGGTACAAGGTTTAACAAAAGGACCTCTTTTCTAGCAGTTTTACTTCTGAAATTCAATGTCTTTTTAATGAGTGAAGTCTTTGAGATTTCCTAAACTAACATAGAATTCAATCATTTTAAAGTAAATAGAACAAAAAAGCTTTTACACCAAGCTTCTTTCCATTCCTATTCCAAATTCTGTATATTTAGCAAGTTCTGATACCTAAAGAAAACAAAGAAACCTTGTTTAAATCCAAACCCTCTTTTATATGACTAATGTATTCTATATATAATATGGGATTGGATGACAGAGCCTGTGCCAAATACTCCATGTAAGCATTTTTAACAAGGACTTCCTGTTACCAACTAGCTCCAATGAAAATGATCTTTCTTTAATCTAAAGACTGGGCGGTTAACAGGCAGAACCGGATTCTCCAGGTGTGAAGTAAGCAATTTGTTCTTTCAGCAAAAAGACAGCTTTATCTCTAACTTCTTTGGTCTCATAATTTGGCTTTCAATTAGCTTAACTTAATGAAAGCCATACAGAAATTGCCTGTGAGCTATATGACAAAAACTTAAATAATTTGATCAAAACATTACAGGCGAATCTCAGTTTTTCCTCTCAAAGGCAGGACTACAACACCGCAAGTGGAAAAGCAACAAAAGGAACAAGGCAAAGGTAAATAAACCACCACTCTTTTTTTGTGCTTTTTAATGTGAGACATGGATAGTCTGAAATCTGAGACATTTAAAATAACTCAACAGATAATTAAAATTACTCTTTTTGCTCAGATTTGGATAGAGCTACTGGCATTTGGATATGACCTGCTCATATATTACTGATGAATTGAATAGCATTTAGGTTTAGAGATCTCAGAAATAGACCACTAACATAAAAATCAACTTTTTAAGTCCTTTAAAAAATAGTTTTTCATTTTGGAAACACTAGAAAGTTATATACTATGAAAACAAACTTAAAATTCTTTCCTTTACAGACTGACTATAAATTAGTCATACTGTGCTTCCTTAAAGGAACATTTTTAACATTGAATACTGAATAGCTTATGCCGAAATTTGACCTATGCATAACTTTTGAAAATTTAAGATGACTTTCTAGGAGGTTTAAATTAATTTCTTCATTGTTGTTTCCCAGAATATTTTAATATCGAGAACATTAGAAAATAATATTTTAAGAGGACTACTGTAAAATATCAAAATACTTTAAATGTTTTAGCTAGCGTATTAAATGTAATTATAAAATTTAATATAAATATATATTTGATTTGATAGTTTTACATTTTTAAGTCTGAATAATTTAAATACTATACATAGGTAGATCTGATATTTTCAAAATTAAGCAATATATAGAGGCTAAACCAAAACATAGTTCACTTTTCAATCTTTCTTCCAAGTTATTTTATAATCATTACCATATGAGAACTTAATAAATAACCCATTTCAAATCAAAATAATAATGGCTTTTAGTAAGTGTTTTAAGGGTAGCTTTGAAAGTGGGTTATATAATACCTACAACACATTATCTTCATGGCTATGCAGTTTTAAATGTAATATAAAAATCATATCATGTAACTACAGTGTATTTCCGTCAAGTAAGAGTTCAAAATGACACAAGTCCTTATTTAGACAAAAAAGGTCTTATTGTTACATTAACAAGTCAGTTAATAATTAATTTATGTACGCTAAATAAAAAGTAGAATAAAAAAGGCCCTGAAAGACCACATTACAAAAATGGCAGATAATTTAAACTTAGAGAAAATATATGCAACTTGCAATATTTGTTTTCCTCATTTAAGTAACCAGAGGTGAATATTCCAATAACATCAGCTCCTTTCACCTTGAACAAGGGAAATTCTGCCAGCTGTCCTCATACACAAAGCAGAAAAAAGAAAAAAAAACAAAACAAAAAACTCATTTTATGTTAGATAAGAACTGGTTACATTTCTTGAAGTATTTTATTTAATCAATATATAACTATAAAAAGGAAGTTTTCTTTAAAAATACAGAGTCCGGCAGAAGGCCTGCTTGAGTGTG